TAGGTCTTAAAGCAAAATGTTTGGTGCACACATGAAGATGCTTTTATTTCACGTATACAGTCTCCCACTTTCTCTAGATATTGGGGAATTCAGAACAGCCCAATTGTTTGCTAAAACCTCAGAGACCACCTGCTGCTCTGTGGCAACCGGTCAGCACAAGAAAAACTGATTTCCAGTGAACTGAGTAAGCACACTGCATTTTTCTCCTTTTCCAAACAGTGCACCAGTAGACTAAATGCACTGACCTATGCAGAAGCTTCCCTCTGCTAAACTCCTACGGAGTTCTGGCATTAGCTTGGAAGGTCTTAAAATTGAAAGTGCTTTCTAATGGATACAGAGCTCAGTTTATTTTTTTAATTAGATAATATACCATTTCCATGGTCCCATTTGAGAAAATACTTGTTCCTCCTGCACTACCTGAAAAAAATAATAACCTGAAAGGCTTATTTGTTGACCTCTTCCCTCGGGTTAATGTTTATAGCCACTATCTGGCTATATACCTTTTATGGACAAATGATAAGGACGCACAGTTACACCTACCTGGCTGTGACTGGATTTGTTCTTGGTTGGGACACTTGGAGGAACATTTGCCATCCAAACTATTGACCACGAACGTTAGATTTGCCACTTTGTCGTCAACATAGTTCTCTATGTTGTTCAAATTTACGAGATGGAGCATCTCCAGGCGCCCGTGCAGCCCCTGGATCTCGTCTTTCGCGTTCTTCAGCTCGGAGGACAGCTTGTGCACCTGGCTCTCCAGTTCCTGGACTCTGTTGTCGCCAGGCTCTCCCTGCGCTCCATTCTTGTCTGGGGCTCGGCTGTCGTCAGCTTGCAACTTGCAGTCTTGGCAAGTTTTCTTCAGACTGTTGACGACTTCCTTGAGGGTCTGCACTTCTTTGAACACCTCCTCGATCCTGCCGAACTGCCCCGGAAGCTGGAGGGTCACTGGGGGCAGGGTGAGCTGGAAGGGGCAGTTGCGGTCCTCGGAGCACTTCCCTCTGCTCTCCAGATTGACCCAGCATGTGTCCTTGGCTCCCTCATCTTGGATTATTTTTGTCTCACTTTGCGCCACCACTAAAAATCCATAGGTAGCGAGGACAGCGGAGCTCAGCCAGAACCAGGTAGGAAGCTTCATCTCGCTGTGCGCTCGCCACAGCAGGCGAGTCGGGACCCAACGCTTTAATAGCTACACAGCTGCCTGAGTCAGGCTTTCTGTGTTGCCAGAAAAGGGCGGGCACGTTTGCATCACAAGTTTCAGAAACTGCACAGGAGGAGGAGATGGTCCTTACCAAGCGCAGCTGGCCAAACCCGGCATCTCATGTCGGTCAGAATAATACAGGTTAGAAGGATGGCAGACCGTGACGCGCATATATTCAAGCTTCAGTGTCACGGTTTTTAATAAAGCACAAGGAAAGTCTTTTGTTTCAAAAGTGACTTATGGTGCTAATGTTTGAAGCAAACATTTAATTATACTTACCTCCATTGGGGAGGAAATAGTTTAAAAGATTATATGTCAGTGTGCTCACTGGCAGTAAATGTAAAATGGAAATGATCCCCTTTTTCAGGAGAATGGAGCAGTGAGGGCCTCCTGCTTCCTTAAAGGATTTGATGGCGGAAGCTGAAACAGATGCCCCCTCCCCACCCCGTCTGTTTGTAAATGGAAAAAAAAAAAAAATGGCAAGAGAAAACTAATGTTGCCTTTTCCCCTTCTGACAGAGTAGTGTATGTAATTGTTATGCTTAAAATGATTAAAAGTGGATCACTGTCCTCAAAATCGGTGGCTGCCCGTTTCTCATCTTTGTAATTGCACTGTCATCTCTGGGGTCTCTGGGAGTTTCCCTCTTCCGATGGCTTTCCTTCTGCTCTTTCCCTCCAAGCCCTGGCAGTCAAGTCTCTGCTTTTTGCCTCCACGCTGGAATACACCCACCCATCCCCAGACACTTGGTATGTCACCCTGTCCAAAGCCTGTCAGCACTCATGACCATGGTTTTCTAATTCTCTTGCTTAGCAGCAGAGGATAGGAAAGGGGAACTACTTCAGTTAGGGAAACCTCAAGTTTATTTTGCATAGTGACACCTCTTAAGATTGCCTACTAAAAATGGATTTTATTGCTTAAAAATTTATTCCAACATAACTGACATAGATGAAAATCCAAGTTTTTTATTTGTACTGGTTAAAACATTGTTTTCTTTCATTCTTTTAGATATTTTATTTTTATGGGTATGAGTGTATAGCCTGCGTGTGTGTAAGTGCACCCAAGTCATGCAATGCCCGAGGATGTCAAAAGAGGATGTCCAACCTTCTGGAAGTGAAGTTACTGGCAGTTGTTAACCACTATGTGGGTGCTGGGATTCGAACCCAGGTCCTCTGCAAAAACAACCAGTGCTCTTAACCAGAGCCATCTCTCCAGCCTATCTTTCTTCCCTTCCTTCCTTCCTTCCTTCCTTCCTTCCTTCCTTCCTTCCTTTCTATCTTAAGATAGGGTCTCATGTAGCCCAGGCTGGCCTTGGACTTGCTATATAGCCAAGAATGGCCTTGAACTCCTGATCTTCCTGCCTCTACCTCCCAGGTACTGTGGTTACAGGTGTGAGCCAATACACCCAGCTTTCTTATTTCTCCAGCCTTATTGGACTTTTCTCTACAACCTCTTCATTCTAGCCAAACTACCATATTCACATTCTCAGAATATGACAGGCTCACCTTCTACTTCTAGGACTGAAGTTACTCCTGAATACTCAGGAGTCTAGGATACCAGCCCTGGATCTACCTCCACTGGATGTAAGTGTCATTAACTTTGCTGAGCCCTCACTCCTGTTACAGTGCAGGAAGAATTTAGATATTTAGGATTCTTTTCTCACTCAGGAATAAGCAATACATAGACTTTGAGTGCTTAGGGGAGAAATGTAGCATATAAACAAAGTTGTCTAACATGTCCTATATACCTTATGCCTCATATGCCTTTAAGGATTATCTCTCTTCATTCCATTCAGTGTATTCAAACCAATTTTAGACAAAATGTTTAACTCCTCTAAAAATATCTCATTTTATTTCACTTTCCTGGTCACTTTCAAGCCCTAACACTTCCTTTTTATAAGGGAGGAAGTAATAAATAATTTTGAAAGGAAAGACAGATAATAATATAGATAAAACTACTCTGTAAAATAGAATTATATGGGATTAGATTCTCTCACATTAACAAGCTAGATTATAAATCCATGTGTTTGTCAGTTAAGAATTTATTCTGATCACGGTGTGTTCAACACTATGGTAGAAATATATAATCCCTCATTCATCCATCCATTTTTTCATTGTAGTCTAATGATACCCCCTCTACATGCAAGGTACTCTCCTGGGTACTTGGGCTACATTAATAAATCAGAACCAAAAACACCTTTTCCTTCTGAGATAGGGTTACAGAAAACCTCATATTTTCTTCATGTTGGACTTTCTAATGGAATCCTAAACACTTAAAAAGCTTTCTACTGTGACAGAAGTATGGCTTTCTGATTCTTGAAAAGGACTGTTGGTTCATCTGTTTGAAGCAAGGATTTGCTTTCCAGACATTGCTGCTGCTTCTTCGGCCCTGAACACCCCACTTAGTCAAGATCTAATGGTATAGTTCTACCTAAGAAGCTTGGATGGGAAATGTAGGGAGACCCTGCACCTTCAGGAGCCTCTGAAAAATTCTCCAAATGAAAGTGGAAAGTTGCTTTATGATCAGTGTCATTGGCTCTGATGTGATCATCAAAGTTCTCAACTTGAAAACTTGTTGGTTCCTAACTGTGTGGTGACTTTCACCTTTACACCCCACTCTAAGGGGCTGAGGCAGGAAGGTCATACATTCAGGGCCAGTCTGAGCTACAGAGAAAGACTCTTCCTCAAAATACAAATAAATCATTGGTCCCGGATGACAAGGCAGCTACTAAGCAACTAGCACATGAATGTGGCACAATCCGCCTCACAGTGCTGTGCCATTGCTGTGCAGGTACTTTCACACAGGGTCTCCTTACATCTCCCATCTCTATGATTATCATCTGCACTTGCAGTTAAGCATGAAGGGATTCAAGTAGTAAGTGACCAGCTTCTGATTTGGCACTTTTGAAGAGACAGAGCTGGAATTTGAACCTGAAACTGATTCCAAAGTTCATGCCTTTCATCTGTTCCACACTGCCACACAGAGGGAAAGATGCACCCTGGGAAGAAATACTGGAATCTTGCTGAAGACAGCGTGGTGCTTAAATCAGTGCCTAGATCAGCTGGGAATGACAGGAAAGTTTTGAACAAGGAAATGGACTTCTCCCCCTTGTAGCTTCAGTTTTAGGAAAGAATCTTCTGCTAAAAACCAGTAAGAAGTGATGTTTTAAAGAGAGGCATTAGTGTGGTGTCAGGTGCTAGGTAAGAAGTAAGCTGGTGTAGTGGCAGGAGAGGCAAGGAAGGGAAGCAGATACTATTGCCAAGGAGTGACAGAAGCCAGAAGATCTGATAAGCAAGGAGAAATGGTGGAGGAGGGAGAGTGGAGAACTCTGAATAGGGCTCTGATTGCACCTAAGTCAAGGCAGTGATGGCAGAGGGGAACACAGGCTGGAGACAGCAGTAATAGTAGTGTTTCTGTTTTTAGAACATTGGCTTTTAAGTAGAATTGATTTCTCTAAGTAGAAAGAACTAACAAGAATTTGGACATCTAGGCATGAAAATCAGCACAAAGCAAATGTGGATACCCAGCCAGAACTAAAGGAACCAATGAAATGGTCAAAGAAACAGGATAAAAATTAAGGGAGTACAGTGTCATGAAGACCAGGAGGGAGGATTTAGAGAAGGAGGTAGCCATCAGAAAGAAACACCCACGAGCCAATTCCCACTACCCTGTCATCTTACTGAGGGTGGTCTCATAACCAGCCTGTTCTGCTCCCTCAGTCACCTTCAGGTTTCTCACCAGAGCAAAACTGCCCTCAGCCCACCCGACGATCTGTACTCACAGATGGACTTTTCACATCTACAGAAGTTCTTTAACATAATACATGATAAGCTTTGAAAGTGGCAATATTTAATTCTATCAGTCAGCTACATAAGAAAATTACTTTAATTAGTCTAGCTTTACAACATATCCAGGCTTCTTTTTTTATATCAAATATATTTTTTATACCTGGATCAAATTCTGAAATTTTCATTTCCCCAATTTAGTTCTTTAAGGAAATACATTGCTTGTATTTTTTAGCAATAAAAATAAGTTTAATGAAAATTATAATATTGAGAGCCTTTCATCGATGCTTACCTTGTTTACGTTTGTAGTTTCTCACTTAAATTCAGAAACCTTTGATCTTTTCTGATAAGAAGATAATAAATTCACACTTTAAACTTCTTGATTAGAAATATCAACAGTAAATAACATTTTATATCTATCAAAGGTCTTATTCATTATAGATTTTGGTAAGTGAACTTTAAAGAGGCCAAGAATGGTGGCTCACACCTGTAATCTCAACAACTAGGAGACTGAGACAGGAGAATTGCCATGAGTTTGAGGCCAATCTATGCGATAGAGTAAGACCCTGTCTTAAACAAAACAAAACAATTGGGGCTGGAGAGATGGCTCAGCTGCTCTTCCAGAGGACCCAAGTTTGGTTCCCAGCTCCCACATGGATGCTAACAACCATCTGTAACTCTAGTTCCAGGGGCTCCAACATTCTTTTGGCCTCTGCAAGTACTGCATAACACAGTGTACTTATGTACATGCAGGCAAAACACTGATACACATAAAATAAAAACAAATAAGTATTTTTTAATAAAGTAATAACAGTAATAAAAAATAAAGTAAAACTTTAAACAAAATCCTGGCTCTTTTAAGCAGACTACTTCCCTTCTGTTCACAGGCCCTGAGTTCAATCTCCAGCAACCCCTCCAAAAATTTTTTCCTGATTTCAAATATCTCATATAGAAACAGGAATTCCCTCATTTTGGCTAAAAAGCTATAATAACAGTTGTTGAGGAGGTTCGGACTAGAAATTCTCTGGAATGAACTCCTGAAAGTTTCTGAACCAACTGAAGGGTAGAGCAGAAGCATCCAAGCTTTACTGTTATTGTGATTTCAGGACACATATTGGACATTTTGAATAATATATATTAATTTATATACTATATAACTTATGTGCATTATATGTTACATATGACATTCAATAGATTTGTTATATAACTTCAATCATAATTT